TGACACAGTTAGAGAAACTCAAACTCAAGATCCAGTGTTGAGCAAATTGAAAGAAGAAGTTAGTAAAGGTAAGCATACAGATTATACCACTCGAGATGATGGAGCTTTAGTTATGGGAAACAGATTATGTGTTCCAGATAATTCGAAATTGAAGTGAGAAATTCTAGAAGAGGCACATAGTTCAGCTTACGCGATGCATCCAGGTAGTACAAAAATGTATCGTGTACTCAAAGAACACTATTGGTGACATGGAATGAAGAGAGAAATAGCTGAGTTTGTATCCAGATGTCTCATTTGCCAGCAAGTGAAACCAGATCGTCAGAAGACAGCAGGATTGTTACAAACGTTGCCTATTCCTGAGTGGAAATGGGAACACATTACTATGGATTTTCTATTTGGACTTCCACGGACTCAGAGTGGACATGATGGCATATGGATCATTGTAGACAGATTGATGAAGACTGCTAGATTTTTGCCTATTAAAGTCACTTACTCGTTAGATAAATTGGCAAAAATATATGTTGATGAGATAATCAGTTTATATGGGGCACCAGTATCTATTGTTTCAAATAGAGATTCTCGTTTCACTTCTAAATTTTCGCCCAATTTACAGAAAGCTATGGGTACTTAACTTCATTTCAGTACAGCTTTTCATCCACAAATAGATGGTCAGACAGAAAGAACTATTCAGACTATGGAAGACATGTTACGAGCTTGTGTACTACAGTTCAAAGGGAATTGGGATACTCATCTTTCTTTGATGGAGTTTCCTTATAATAACAGTTATCATTCGAGTATAGAAATGACTCATTTTGAAGCACTGTATGGTAGGAAATGCAGAACTCCAGTATGTTGGGATGAAGTTGGTGAAAGAAAGTTATTGGATCCTGAATATATCCAGATTACTGCTGAGAAAGTAAAGATAATTAAAGAAAAGTTAAAGACAGCCCAAGATAGACAGAAGAACTATGCAGATAGACGCAGAAGAAACCTTGAATTTGATGTTGGAGATAGAGTTTTCCTGCGATTGTCTCCATGGAAAAGTGTTATCAGATTTGGTAAACGAGGTAAATTGAGTCCGAGGTATATTGGCCTTTATGAGATTGTTGAACGCATCGGCCCAGTTGCATATCGATTGGCTTTGCCAACAGAATTGTCCAAAATTCATGATGTATTCCATGTTTCTATGCTTCGTAAGTATATTCCAGATCCATCTCATGTTTTGGAATCACAACCAGTAAAATTGAAAGAAAATCTTACCTATGAAGAAAAACGAGTTCAGATATTGGATAGGAAGGAACATGTTTTGCGTAGTAAGACTATTCCATTGGTTAAAGTCTTGTAGAGGAATCATGTTATAGAAGAAGCAACATGGGAAAGTGAAGAGCAGATGCGTTCTCAATATTCCCAGATTTTTCGTACTTAGTTGATCGAATTTCGAGGACGAAATTCTTTTAAGGGGGTGAGTTTTGTAATACTCTAATCAATTCACAAAGAAAAGTCAAACTAAAAAAAAACAAAAGATAAAAACAAAAAGGGGAGGCGGTTATCAAACAATCAATTTCCAATGCAATTATAAATATAGCTATGTGTGTAAACCAAATCCTTAACATACATATTACATCTACAAAAAAAAAAAAAAAAAAAAAAAAAAAAAAAAAAAAAAAAAAAACACGGTGCAGAGAAAGAAAAGAGAGAAAAAGAGAAAGGAAAAAGAAAAAGAGGAAGGAAAAAAAGGGAAAAATTCGTCAATATGTTAGGAATTAAGTGCTCTATCCTATTAGACTTGAACTTTTCAATTTTGAAAGATAAGTAAAAAGTTACTTATTGTTAAGTTATGTTTGATTTTATAGTTATTAGATTGTTAGGTTAAATTTAATTTTGAACTTCTCCACTCACTGAGTTATCAACTCATATATTTTTCCACGTTTTTCCTTATCAGACAGCAGTTGAGAATCTGGGCATCTTTTGGAGTTGAGCCTTGATTTTGGAGTTAGAGCCACACGACAGAGTTTGTTAGTATGACTCACTTCATAGAACATGTAGTGAGTGTTTTGGGATGCATGTTCATGTCTAGATGTAATTTGCATCACTTGTAGATAGTTATGAAGATCACTATGTATTATGTATCCATATGTATATTTCATTGTATTTCTTGGTAAAAGTGGAGACTTCGGCTTATCTTTATTGTGTTGTGCCATAGTTTGGGATTTGTGTGAAATTGATCACAGATTGGTTAGTCCTTTTTACAGGGGAGATAATGCCGAAATTTTGTTAGAAAAATGATGTATAAAAAGTGATATATTGTATTTGTAGTAGCCTTGATGGTGGGTCCGACTTTTAGTTGGTATCTATCATCGGCGCATGCCACGTCCGGATCTAGTGGTGTTACACGGGGCGGGGTGTGTCATTTCTGTGTATATATATATATATATATATATATATATATCTAGTTCTCTCTGTCATTGTGGAGTAGAGGCTAGTTCGGGCAGGTTGCTCTCTTATGTCATTCTTACAAGCAAGAGAAAGGGCGGGGCAAGGGCTTTGCTGGCACGAGTGCGTTAAGAGTGCGTTTCCGATGGGAGCTTAAAAAAAGGGCTTTCCGTTTTCTTGCTCGTTAGCGCCCCCTACCCTTTATTTCATCTGCATGTATTATGATAATTTCTCTCTCAATCCCATTTATATAGTTCGTCTTTCCTTATTTTCTTATTCCAATTATAGTCTTATTTTTTTATTGAGAATGTTTTGTTTTATTCGTTTACTAATATACCTTTATTTAATTTATCTAGTTATATTCAATTTCTCTCATTTATCTTGAAATTGTACAAATATAAGTAAGGGTAAACTAGGAAACAAGTTATAAAAGTATAAGATACTCTATCTATTAATAATTATTCATTTATTGATAAAATCGATGCCTCTACTAAATTACTCCAGTCCCTATGTATCTTTATTTAAATCCGTTCCAAACTACGCAAAACTTTATACCTTCAGATATGCCATGGCTAAATTCGAACACCTCGTCCAAGCTTGAGCCAAGTTCTACACCTTGTGTTTTCCCGGATATGCTACTTGAAAGACTGCGTATCTTTGCATGGCCAGCAAATCTTTCTGTATATACACTTCAGACATGTGTAATTTGTAGAAAACCATTTCCCATTCTCTGCCTCTACCTCAGCCATCCCACTTGACCTAGCCTAATTTGTTAAGATAAAGTAAAATAAAACTCGATTGTTTAGATAATCGTTGTAGCCTAATATGAATGATTTACTATCAATTATTTTGTTCTGACGTTAAACTTTAGTTTGTATTAAATTTCTGTTGTGATTTTGAAGTGCTTTTTATATTTTGGCCAGTTCATAGATTGATTGTGAATTGTGTTTTAAAAAAATAAAAAATTATGAATAAAATCATAAATAGATCAATAATAAAACTTCAAGACTAAAGTCAAGAACAGATTAATAAATGAATAAAGTAGCTCGCGTGAACACTACAAAGAAACTGGTGGTCAACTTATGACGGTGTGGTTGAGGAAATGAGACGCAAGTAATTAAAACTTGGGTTATACACACAAGAATGTTAATGCCTTTTAGGTAAGTTTATCTGTCATGCATGAACCTACATTCCGTGACTACTAAATCTCTTGTTCATGACAAGTTATTTTCATATTGATTTAAATTTTAATGTGTCAAATTAAAAGTTGCATTTTTTTCTTGAAGGGACAGTTCAAGGTCTAAATGCTCAACATGTGTACGTCGTAGAGATGCACAAAAGTTGGCTACCTCTTCCTCTTTGACGCGAAAACAAAAGCCTACTCCTATAATACCAAGAAAAGACACGTACTCTTCTTGCAAAACAAAACGATTATCATTCAACATAGAACAACATAAGTTCAACGTAATACAATACAAAATTAATTTCTTACGAAAATTTAATCCAAGTTTTATTAAACTTCTAGGTAATTTGTCTAGTTATATACTGACATTGAACTATATTCTACGAAATCTGTATTTTCTTCTTAGAAATTTGAGTAGAAATATTTATGCATGTGCTCAAATTATATTGGGACAAGACATTATGTTGGAAAATAGAAGAACCTTGTCTTGGATGATGCAAAACGTAGGATTATATTTTTACGGGCCTCACTCAATGGTGAATTGATTATCAAACAATCAAGTCCAAAGACTTGACAAGAAACCAACATTGACCGTTGGAAATAGTTTAAAAAATTAATGTTGCTTACAGTCTACATTTTTGCCTATCAGACGGTTCTTGATTCCAGCCCATTTATCCCTTTCTTAGCCCAACTAAATACTAACCCATTCATGTATATAGGTTGCTTACCCTAGCCATTTTTAGAGTGTGTGAATTGTATGGAATTGAGACAAAACGTGTGGCTTCTTTGTTTTGGTCACCTCTTTGTGCCTTCTTCCATTGATTTTATCGTGTCTTTGTGGCTTGCAAATCAATACTAAGAGTGTGTTTGATTACATTTATTTTCCATGGAAAATATCAGTTTTCCACCCAAATTTTTATTTTGAGTGTTTGATTGCTATTTTTTTCCATGGAAAACATTTTCCAACTTTTGAAAATATGCCTAATTTTCCTTGTTTTTAATGAAAATATTTTCCTTGGGTAGAGGTGGATTTTATTTTTCACAAAAGATGGAAAATATTTTCTTTTTTAGGTGATATTTTTCATGTCAATCAAACACACTCTAATATTTTATCCTTTGTGTGTGAAATTGAGGAGTAGCTAAAGTGAATATTGGTTTTGAGTTGGAGCCATTTAAATTGATTGTTTAATAGAGAAATGTAACATAAAACTAAGTCGAAAATCACTGACCTTGAGATCTTGGAGTGAGTTTCCACGGCACTGGATTCTTCAAGTAACAATAAAACTTAGTCGAAAGACACGGGGTTTAGCTTCAAGGACAACAAACTCCCTTTCTCTCTCTTGTTTTTGTTTCAAGAACAACCGGCAATAGACTAGGTCCCTCTTCTCTCTCTCTCTTTCTTCTTGTATCACATATATTTAAGCACGTTCTTGATTCTTCACTTTCGTCCCATTTCGTTTTACACATCCTTTTTCTTGGAATAGGAAAGACACTCTTCATGTGTTAATTTCTTTCTCTCTCTAGATATCTTGTTTCTTGTGAGCAAATAGATCGATAGATACAGTTTTAGGGTTTAAAAGAGGAAGAATGTCCGCATATGTAAGGATATGCAATGGCTTACATGGGTTGAAACCGACCCTGTTGATGATATTGGCGCAAACTATAATTGCTGGTTTAAATGTTTTCTATAAACTGGCATCCAATGATGGCATGAAATTGCAGATTTTGGTGGCCTATCGGTTTCTGTTTGGCACTGCTTTTATTGTTCCTATTGCATTCTTTCTCGAAAGGTTTAAATTATTGTTCTCATTTTGAGCACGTTAGTTCTACATGCCAAGATCATGATGAATCTAGAAAATTACATCATTGAAATATACAGAAAAAAATTTGTATTATTAAGAATCTTGTTGATTTAGACGTTGTGTTACTGATTCCAAATTTATTTGAGAAAATGCTTTAGTTGTCGTGCATAATTTGGGTGAAAATCGCTCTTTATTATGCCCCTGTTTGGCCCCCATTTTGGGTAATGAAAATGGGAAGAATAGTGTTTTGTTGAAAAAATGAGTGGTTGAAAAAGAAGGAAAAATTTTCGATTTACGGGTAATATTATTTTATGGAAGATTGTGTGGTTAAAAGTAGGAGAGAGAAAAATAGAATGTAATGTAATGTAATTTAATGGGAATCAAACAAGGGCTATATGTACCTTTTTTCTTGTTTGAGAGAACTTTTCTTCTCATTGGAAGATAGGATTTTCTAAATTGTTTCTTCATGATTACAGGGTTCTATGAAATTTAGTGTAGAAAAGAAAATGTTTAATGAGGGAAAACCGAAATAATCATGCATTCACAAACACGTGCGCGCGCACTTTATATTCGATAGTTACTTCTGAATCAATATATAGACGTTGTGGATTTGCTATTTCAGAAAAAAGAGGCCAAAGTTAACGTGGATGGTGCTCTTCCAAGCATTTCTCTGTGGTATGTTTGGGTAAGTTAAAGATTTCTATGGCTGAATCTTTTTACTGATCATTTAATATCTTGGTTCATATATGTTTGTGGCTCTCCTTCTTCCTAGACAATATTACCAAGCAATGAATTCAAGAAATCACACCTTTGAGCAAACGTCAGTGACATATTTATCATTTTCCGATCACCCATTTGCTCTCTATATATCCAATTCCAATTAAAAACCAAAAAGGAAAGATGATTCATAAAAAGAAAATTGCAGAGTAAAAAAAAGATAGAAGAAAAGGAAGATATTGGTATCAGAAGACTGTGGTGTTAGTAATAATCAGAGAGAGAACTAAATGGTTATTATGTCATTTTTTTATTTATATTTTCATATAAATAAGAAACATATTAGAAAATGTGGTGTAACGAAAAAAAATTTGTGGTTGCAATATATTCACCCATCTTTATTTAATGGATGCTCAATCCCAAAAAAAAATAAATGTCTTAAGCACAATTCTTGAAAACGAGAAATAATAAAACTTGAACTCGTGAACATGTGCTTTGATGTTACATTGAACTAATTGCATGAAATGAACCTTTTGTTTACAGAGGGTCAATGGGGCAAAATCTTTACTTAAAAAGTCTGACATTGACGTCCGCTACTTTTGCCTCAGCCACGACCAATCTCATTCCAGCCATTACATTCATCATCGCCGTTTGCTTAAGGTATTGATGCAAGTTCTATTTCAAATACCAATAATCTGTAATGGTGCATTTTGCCATTAATGATCTATATATGGTTCAGGTTGGAAAAGCTGGGATGGCACACAAAGGCAGGTAAAGCAAAGGTGTTTGGAACTTTATTGGGAATTGGTGGGGCAATGCTTCTCACATTCTACAAAGGGCCTGATATCAATATATGGAAGACACATATAAATCTTTTACTGACAACTTCAAGTCATCCTAAGACTCTACAAACACAAAGTTCACAAGGTGGTCATTTTCTGTTGGGTTCTCTTTTAGCATTGGCAAGTTGTGTTTGTTATTCGCTCTGGTTGATTATTCAGGTAAGCCTGGCTTCGTTTCGGCTGCCTTTCTTGCTTTTCAAATCACAGATAGAAAATGAATAGTTTTGTGACAGGCCAAGGCAGCTGAGAAGTATCCATGCCCTTACTCTTTTACTGCTTTGATGATGGTAATGGCAGCGGCTCAAGGCGTGGGATTTGCTCTGTGTATGGAGAGAGATTGGAGCCAATGGAAGTTGGGATGGAACATTAGACTTCTAGCAGTAGTTTTCGCAGTATGTCTTAATTTCACTGTGTGGATTACTTATAATTTGTGCGTAAACTATTTTGTTTGCTATATATGGTGGAGTTCTTCATTTGCAGGGTATTTTTGGTTCTGGAGTAATGTTTACCTTAGTTGCTTGGTGTGTTCGTATGAGAGGTCCACTCTTCGTATCAATATTCAACCCCCTTATGCTACTGCTGGTAGCCTTGGCTGGATCTTTGCTATTGAACGAGAAGCTGCACTTAGGAACGTACGTGTGTGTTCTTTATGTGTAATCAATCAATTCTTTATGGAATTATGCTGAACGAGAAGCTGCACTTAGGAACGTACGTGTGTGTTCTTTATGTGTAATCAATCAATTCTTTATGGAATTATGCTAAGCGACATAGTCATTGACGTAATAGTTGACATAATACCACACGACACTTCATCAATAGACTGTTTTAAATATATTCAGTTTTTTCATTCAATTACATCTTGCCAACTAATATTATGTCATTCCATCTATCAACCATTTTCTGTCAAAGTGGCATAACTCTTCTATATGGCAGTCGATTCCACTTCCCAGTTTTTCCAAACAATTTTACAGGTGCTTTTTTTTTTTTTTTTTTTTTTTTTTTTTTGGCAAGAATCAATGAAAAATTGTCAAGCGTCTCCTAATACAATACCCTAGCATCTCTCCATAACATTTCTCTCCATTTCCATGATCAAGTCAAATATTTTTCATACGATTTTGCCCGTACATAATTTTAGTAAGCATCGGAGAAGAACTGATGGAGAGTGGGCTCGGCAACTCCTTCTAGCTCAGCTCCTAGGACGATCGAGTTGGATCTTCTTGTCTAGGCTTTGTATTTACCAATTTGCTAACTTATGCCATGCATATGTTTGCTTCTATAAAATTGAAAGTAAGAAGATCTTACATACATATGATGGTACACTTAGTACGTTGGACAAGAAAAAACACAAAAGACGTAATTGTTTTCTCTGGCATTAATGAATGTTTATGTGCATGGCAGGGTGCTCGGAGCAATTTTAATTGTTTTTGGACTATACATTGTATTATGGGGAAAAGGCAAAGAATTAAAGAGGGTATCACAGTTGATGCCAGAAAAAAATTCTGGAGATCAGGTAAGACAAGTTGAGATTGACATCACGCCTTCGATGCCAAATAATGGAAGTAGTCATGGCGGCAGAAGTAGTGGCAATGGTGGAAAAGAAATCTCTGAGGAGGAAGAAGAAGAAGAAGAAGAGATGGGGCATTCTCGGGCGAGTTCAGATTTTATAGGGGGTCTTTACATGTATGCATAGAACAAAGATATGTTATTTGACTAGATATATCATATACGTATACATTTAGTTGTATGAAATTCACAATAGGCAAATTATACATGGAGCAATTGATTAGTGGCATACATTTATTTGTATTCAATTAATCACAGTAGGGAAATTATACTTCCATCTCCATGAGATGGGAGATCGTGGATTTCAGATAGTCGACTTCATTCTTCGTGGTTTGCAGACATCATTTTCAATAATAAGGGAATACCAAGCTTTTATATGTTGTTTATTTATTAGTATATTTAACTTACGTGAGATTGGTCCTACCGAGTTATTTAAATACACTCAAATGCTTGTAGCTTGTATCAATCTTGATTTGGACCTTTTGTTGATCTCAATTTTTGCCTCAAGAGAATGCTGATCACCTGAACTTTCCTTTAGATCCTTTATGGTAGTAATGTAGGCGGCGTGTGTTCTAATAAAAGAATAAGGGAAATGATTCACCTTGATAGAGAGATAGATCAATTAATGCCCTCCACATAGGCATTCTCTGCGCACTAGAACACACCGTAAAGAAGTTAAGGCCGTCGGTCGGAAAAAAAAGATCCAACGTCTATTTGCACGTAAACAAAGAAATCAACTATAGAATGACAGGAGACTGTTCAAGGTTAGAAAAAGATACCTTGTATGTAAATGAGCTGACCTATACATAGAACAACGGAAACCGGCCAAGCAAGGCTAATGGCCCGAGCCCAAGCCTACAATTAACCTATTTGAGCCTCTCTCTCTCTCTCTCTTTTTTTTTTTTCTCTAAAATACATTTTGAAATAATATTTCGATAGAGAATGTCTAGCTAAAAAATAAGAAAAAGTTTGAGTTTATATGTAATATTATTTTATTGAAAAATGTGGTTCAAAATAAGAGAGAAAAATATATTTAGAAAATAATGGAGATCAAGCAATGGCTTAATTACCGAGTCGGCCCATAATATGTTGATTCAACACGATAAGTGCACACGCGTAAAGGTTACCGAATGAGAAGTATATATATAAAGGGGATCAAATGAGACTGGTTGCCTGAAATAGCCGCAATGATTACTAGAGCACCAACATCATCTTGGAACGAAGCTTCCTTCATTGAAAATAATAGGCAATAATTACAAACAGGAATTCATAATCATGAAAAATGTAAAAAGAAATGTTTTTCTAGGATTGTCTTCGACCATCTTATTTGATTACCAATTGGTATCAACAAACGGAATCAATACAACTTAGGTGAATGGTATTGGATGGACTGATGAAGACAGAACAATTATTACATATGTTAGACTGTAAGATGCATCATATGGCAACAAATATATTTTCGAAATTGGAATTGAAAAAATAGATGGCAAGCTCTTCATTGCATCGGTGGACTTTATATACATATGAATGCAAATTTCAAAAAAATATCGTAGCTCGAAGGGCTTGAAATTTACCGAACATCGAAATTCCCCGATGCCAACTTCAAAAATTTCCTCCTAAGAAAGAGCTGGACTAAGGGTCAATATAAAAATTTTATAAGGGCTAGAAGTATATGTCAAGGGTTTTACATATATAATGTTGCTAGTGCTTTAATTTTTTCTCCCTGTCCCGGGAGAAATATGGAGAGATTATGAGTCATTACGACGATGACTTGTCCATGATTTGCAAGACGAAGATAACTATTCGATGTTGAGCCACTAGTTGTGTAGGTGACACCAAAAAAGGTTGAATAAGCATGAACTTGGGAGAAATTGATAACACCATCCTATCCACCGAATTCTGACCAAATTTCACCACCTTATCCATGTGAGGACGATACCACGAAGAGTTTTTAGATACACAACCCAAATGTACTATCCATATTTTGATTTTGATACCACGTACATAATATCGCTATTTCCATTGCTCCAATTTTTACTGACAATGTTGCACTATCTTGATGAGCAAAGTGCAAGACGAAGAAGGCTTTAGTTGGGTGGGAGGGTGCACTTTGTGGGGCGTAAAGGATGGATATTTTTTGTGATTTGTATACTAAGTTTCTAAAGCCCATTGACAACTTCTCGTAGAAGTTGAATCATTTATGCGTCTTGAACTACGTGTACCCATCACCATAGTACATTACATCTTGGTCATATGATAGTGTCCCCTACATCCACCGTGAATGATATGTGGGTCACCCCCATAATATGGACATTTCTATAAGAGGGCAAAGTAGACATTTCGAATGTCATTCAGACATTTTCATTATAAATTGTGAATAATGGACATTTCTAATGTTCCACCGACCAAAGAGAATTTCCATCGACTTCTCCTTTTTTCTTATTGATATTGACTAACATTCGACAATTTTCTTTATCGAAAGAGCCATCATGGTAAGTATTTAGGGGCTCCATGGTGTCACGTGAGGTCACTTATAGAATTTTAGAGTTTGATTTTTTAATTTTTTTTAAATATATTTTTATTTACTTTTCTCTAAAAATTGAAATAATTTTTTCTTTCCATTTTTGATCGGTGTGCACAACTTTAACCTAAAGATCTAGATCTAATATCACTAATTAATTTCTTATTCCTCTCTGATACATAGATTTCATCAATTCAATTAAAATTGAATATTCTCACTGTTCAACTCGAAGGTGTTGACGTCAACATGTTCCACAAATTTTCAGCCACACAATCGCATCCTTTCTTATAATCTCTCAAGTATCAACTCACAATATTTACAACTTACTTTTTCATTCCAATATAGTTCGACTCCATCATTATATGTAGTACACAATACTTAGTAATGAAGTACGATACAACAAATAATATTTCAATTCTTATCTTTTTTGTTTTAATTGCTTTATCTCCAACAATACTTAGTAATGAAGTATGATACGACAAATAATATTTCAATTCTTGTCTTCTTTGTTTTAATTGCTTTATCTCCATCAAACATCTTGAAATGAATATTATTTATATGTGAAAGTGCAATGCTCATGCATTGTCTATGTTAGTTACTTTGTTGACTTTTCTCCAAATTTAGATAAACAATCATGCTATGGGTACATTGTAGTATCTAACGGGGTGTCCATTTATGTTAGTTACTTTGTTGACTTTTCTCCAAATTTAGACAAACAATCATACTATCGATACATTGTGGTATCCAACATGGTGTCCGCGCCTCAATCAACACCGAGGCGCCAGGTGTCTATTTTGGACACCCTTTTAAACACATCGGTGTACCACAAGCATTATTCTTAGACAAAATACAAAAGAGACTAACCAACAAGATTTAACAGCCCAGCTCGTGTAATTATTAATGGCTTCGTCAGCCCGTTATCTGGTTGCGATTTATTACCTATTCTTTATTCCTATTTTTTTTTTTTTTTCTTTTCTAATTACATGCCCAAACTATCAATCCACCCCCTCGAGATTCTGATATTTCTTGGGCATAATTTTGGAGTACAGACCAGTCAATATCATAATATCAGAATATTTTTAATGGGGAAGGACTTGGTGTACATTATAGACAATATCAGGCACCCCTTCAATAGGAGGGCGCCATGTATACATTATGGACATCATTATGGTGCCCGTAATGTATGCCTAGAATTTTCCTTTTTAATATTTATATAACATTTTACTTGGGTTCATCTGAGGTAACAAAAGTTGCAGTCAAAGCAAAGTAGAATTAAAGAACACACTTTATATGTATTCTTTTCCTTGACCGACAGAATTTTTAGTTATCTTTTTCTTTTCACCTAAATTTTTGCCCAACAAACTCATCTCTTTTAACTTTAGAGATATTATCAGCCGCCAAATTCAACGGTTCGAATTGTAATGAAATTCATGAAAAGACAAGAGATAATTTGAGTGACCGAAAAATCATAGTAGTCGGGAAAGAAAGCAAAAATGATTCTACTAGTAGCGATTGTGAAGAGCAATACAAGCAACATGATGATAAGAATAAATATAACTTGCATGTGAGGAGATGTATTTTAAATGTAGTCCCCGATTGATTTTCCTAAATATTATATTTTTAGTAAATTTTAATAATAATGATAAAATTTGTAGTTAAAAAAGTTTATAAAATTGTGAGTTTCAAGAAATATATGATTAAAATTTTTTTGAGAAAAAAGAACTTTAAAAATATGGATCAAACACGAACATAAGTTAAAGAAATAAGTTGCTATTGTGACAAGGACCATGACAGGCCCCTATGACAGGTCGCCTATGTGGCGCCCTATCACGACCCCTGTTCGTTTATCAAAACCCTTAATTCAATATTTGTAACATGTTGGTAACTAATCATTCTTGCCTAGTGTAGTAAGATCTAAGCTATAATAAGCAACTAACAATGTTATAGTTAGCTGATACTGATAGACTTGTAAGTTACTCATGCTAATCAACTTATAAACCTAATTTGTTGCTTTTAAAATATTTTAAGAATTTTTTTCTCTTATAATTAGATTTCTGTATGCTCGGATATTAGACAACGAAGCTCTTCGGCCGGCACCTTTATGAGGTTAAATATAATTATTTAATTCCTAGTTTGTAACAATATTCTTTTCTTTCTTTTGTTTTTGCGTCAAATACAAGAAAAACTTTGATTTGCTAGAATAATATCCAATGGAATATTAGCGCATCGTCTTTGTCTTTTATGTTGTTGCCATCTTTTGTATTTTTTCAAATAAAGTTAACTAACAAATGAACACAAATGTTTCTTCCTGTCCTTCGAAAATCTGAATTTAATGGCATGAATGGTGTAATTTTGGTAGTTTTCACTTGTTTAAAAATTGACAAAAGGAATGCCATGAAGTTTTTTAGCAAAAAGAATTTTCATATTTTCATTGTAGTTATTGCGGAAAAAAATTGTCATTTAGACTTATTAGGCAATCTATCATGGATTGATTTAAAAAAAAAAAAAAAAAGATCATTTAAACAAAAGTAGATAATGTCTAAACAATTTTTTTTCAATGTAACTTGATTGGAACTCGGCCTAGTTCACACGGCAAGAAAAAAAATACATTGTCAATAAGTTTGTCTAAAGTAGAGGCTTTGCTGGACAAGTAAATCAGCAAAATTTAGCTCCCGTTTGGCTCATTCTCATTCTCATTTTTTTTCTATATCTTATTTTTAACCACACAATTTTTTATAAAATAATATTACACGCAAATCAAAAACTTTTCATTTTTTTTTCGATCACACATATTTCAAAAAAAATATTATTCCAACCATTAAAATTTGGCAAGAATGAGGCCAAATGTCTCTTTA